GGGTGGGGTTGTAAATTTGGTGGGGCATGGTCTCAGGGAATCACGGGGCGATGCAAACAGCAATGGCCTTCCCCCGGATAGGTCCCTGGGTCTCTGTGTCCCATGGCCCTATGCGGGAACAATAAACGCTGCAAGCACCTCTGCGAGAAAGCTGCCCTCACGCTCCGGCCCTATGCCAGACAGTACAGTTTCTCTCCGTATGAGTCTGGGTCCCCAAATTCTTGCCCAGAGCTGGAGTTCAGAGGAGTCGGGGGCTTGTATCTCCCTCCCGGCTGAAAAAGACAACAGCATACCCAGCTGCCAGCCCCTTCTGCGCGCCTCCACACTTCCACACCTCTGCGCCTCCTACCAGACTCAATGCGATTTTCTCTTTCCTTCTAGTTGTAGTATTTCCACTCAGCCAGCCTTCCCATGGTTCTGAATGATATTCGTTTTGTCTTTTAGTTGCATTTTTAATGTGGTTGTGCGTGGCAGCAAGTTCAGGTGTTTAGCTATGCCACCACCTTGGTTGTCTCTAACACCCATTTTTGATAAAAACTCAGCAAAGTGGGAATAGAAGGATCATATCTCAACACAATAAAGGCCATATATGCCAAACCTACAGCCAACATCATACTCAATGGGCAAAAACTAAAACCATTTCCCCTAAGAACAGGAACAAGACAGGATGCCCACTTTCATCACTCCTGTTCGACATAGTACTGGAAGTGCTAGCCATAACGATCAGACAAGAAGAAGAAAAAGGCATCCAAGTTGGAAAAGAAGAAGTAAAACCGTTGTTATTTGCAGATGGCATATACTGTACATAAAAAACCCTAAAGACTCCATCAAAAAACTACTAGATTTAATAAATGAATTCAGCAATGTAGTAGGATACAAAATTAACACCTAAAAATCTATGGCTTTTTTATACACCAATAGTGAACTCACAGAGGGAGAAACTAAAAACAATAATCCCATTTACCATTTCAACAAAAAAAATTAAGATACCCAGGAATAAACTTAACTAAGGAAGTGAAAGACCTGTACTTAGAAAACTACAGGATGCTGAAAAAAGAGCTGGAGGAAGGCATAAACAAATGGAAGAATATAATGTGTTCATGGATTGGTAGAATAAACATCATTAAAATGTCCATACTACCCAAAGCAATCTATAGATTCAATGCAATCTCCATTAAGATACCAATGGCATATTTCACAGGCCTAGAACAAACTCTCAAAAATATTTATATGGAATAAAAAAAGACCCCAAATAACTGCAGCAATCCCAAGAATGAAGAACAAAGTTGGAGGGATCACAATACCAGATATCAAGCTATATTGCAAAGCCACTGTTCTCAAAACTTCCTGGTACTGGCACAAGAACAGACATATAGACCAATGGAACCGAACATAGAACCCAGAAATCGACCCAAGCCATTATGCTCAATTAATATTTGACAAAGGAGGCAAGAGCATACAATGGAGACAGAATAGTCTCTTCAATAAATGGTGTTGGGAAAATTGGACAGATACATGCAACAAATGAAACTAGGCCACCAGCTTATACCATACATAAAAATAAACTCAAAATGGATAAAGGACTTAAATGTAAGATGGGAAACCATAAAAATCTTAGAAGAATTGATAGGCAACAAAATAGCAGACATATGTCATAGCAATATCTTTACCCATACAGCTCCTAGGATAGTGATGGCGAACCTATGACACGTGTGTCAGAGGTGACACGTGAACTCATTTTTTTGGTTGATTTTTCTTTGTTAAATGGCATTTAAATATATAAAATAAATATCAAAAATATAAATCTTTGTTTTACTATGGTTGCAAATACCAAAAAATTTCTATATGTGACACGGCACCAGAGTTAAGTTAGGATTTTTCAAATGCTGACACGCCGAGCTCAAAAGGTTCGCCATCACTGTCCTAGGACAATGGAAACTAAGGAGAAAATAAACAAATGGGACTACATCAAAATAAAAAGCTTCTGTACAGTAAAATAAACCATCAACAAAACAACAAGAAAGGCCACTGCATGGGAGAACATATTTGTTAATGTTATCTCAGATAAGGGTTTAATCTCCAAATTTTACAGAGAACTCATACAATTTAACAAAAGGAGGATAATCCAATAAAAAAAAATGGGCAAAGGACCTAAATAGACACTTTTTGAAAGAGGGCATACAGAAGACCCTCTTCAAGAGACATATGAAAACATGATCAAAGTCACTAATCATCTGAGAGATGCAAATCAAAACGACAATGAGGTACCATCTCACACCTGTCAGAATGGCTATCATCAACAAATCTACAAATGACAAGTGCTGGAGAGGATGTGGAGAAAAAGGAACACTCGTGGGCTGCTGGTGGGAATGCAGACTGGTGCAGCCACTATGGAAGACAGTATGGAGTTTCCTCAAAAAACTAAAAATGGAACTCCCATTTGACCCTGTGATCCCACTTATAGGAATATATCCCAAGAAATCAGAAACACCAATCAGAAAGGATATATGCACCCATATGTTCATAGCAGCACAATTCACCATAGCTAAGATCTGGAAACAGCCTAACTGCCCATCAGCAGATGAGTAGATTAGAAAACTGTGGTACATGTACACAATGATTCGAATACTACACAGCTGTAAAAAAGAAGGAACTCAACATTCGCAACAGCATGGATGGAACTGGAGAGGATTATGTTCAGTGAGATAAGCCAGAGAAAAATAAATATCACATGATCTCATTCATTTGTGGAATATAATGAACAACATAAACTGATAAACAAAAATAGAGCCAAAGGAAAAAATATTTTAGCATATAATTGAAGTAATTTGGTTATTTGCAGATTATGAATATTTCCTACAACTTTAGTGATATTATACTGGTACTATATTAGTACGTTTTGGTAATATTATTATACTTAAAATCTTTTTTTCTTGAAATATTAACGTTTATTGCAAGGAATAAATTATATTTAAAATCATTTTTCTTGAAATATTAATTTTTATTGCACGTAAATGGATAATTATTTTGTATCTACAATCTGGTAATAGATTTATTTTGCATATTGTAAAAAACAAACAAAAAAACCAAATATCCATGCACAATACACATATGCCCACATGTATTACACATACATTCTGGACAAATCTTCCCTCCCCCAATGTATAAGGTCATTTTTCCAGGCTTCCAATTATTCAGAGGTTAACCTCTACAGTCTAGAAGCTACAGCAGGCTGAGGACCTCACAGGGGACAAGAGCCCCCCAAACCACCCCCCCCCAAACACACACACAATCACACATTCTTCCCATGGGGTGAGCATCAGTAAGCAAATCCCCAGGCGGAGCTGCAGCTCCCAGCTCGGGCCTCTGCAGCTCCCTGAAATCTGTCTCACCTTCCTGGCTGTTTTCTTGCAGTTCCGTGAAGAGCCCGAGCCTGGAGACCTGATTGAGATTTTACACATCGGCTCCTCGCACTGGGCCCTGTATGTGGGCTATGGTTATGTGATCCACCTGGATCTCCCGGGTAAGGAGGTTGAAAGTATAACT